AATCAGGGATAGAGTAACTAGCTCTTAACTATAAAAAGATTTGATTGAATATTTATGGGAATAATATAGCAACGAGTAGAATCATTATATTTGAACTTTTTATGTTATCATAATTTTCAAGTATTTTATGTTTTCTTTTTTTATTATGGTTGTTATCTTTTAAGTTAATTAATCATATTTATTGTTGTTAAGTGTTAGAAGAACTTCAAAAAACTATTATGAATTCGTATCAATTTATAATAATATATTTAAAATAACCAAGAAATTTCTAATATTTAATTAAAAATACATTACATTAAATAATAAATCAATCAAGTTAATTAAAAATTAAAACTTTTTTTGTATAATTTCTAATTTTCTATTTTAAAAATACGCTGTAGAAATTCGATCCAAATTACAAATATCTATTTTTATATTTTGTTCTTCTTTCTCAATCATGTTCAATTCTTATTTCTCTTGACTTTTTTTAATCATCATGACTTGTTGCTCTAACATAATTTTTCTATCTTGTTTCTTTTGATCCTCAATTTCAACTAGAGTATCCATGAATTGTTGTAAGAGATTTGTTACAGTTACCTCCCCAGCTTTATATTTACCTTGCCTGTGTTCAAGTCGTTCCTCTACAGCCTTCTAACCAATTGGTCTATCTTGATAAATCAATGATTCACTATTTTCTTCTAAATGAACAGAATCAGAGGTAGATGGAGTTGATGAAGCCGAACTTGCATTGACATTAATTTTTTGTTTATTGGTTGACCTTTGATATTAACTTGCACGCTCAAATTATCATTTATATTTTTTTTTAGATAACCCAATAATTTTCTAGTTGAAATCATTTGCCAAGCATCATTAATCAAGTAAAAAATTAAAGAAATTCAATAATGTTAAAATATGTGTTAAACAATTTAACGTGGAAATTAATATTAAAATTACCCTTAATTTTTTGGTCATTCTACTTTGCTGATGATTTTTAATTTGAGTAACAAATCCAACAAATTTACTGATTTCTTTATTTATTTCTTGTCATCAACCTGAGATGCTTATTTGGGAATGATTATTCAAGTTCCTTCCATTCTCTACAAAGTAAACATGTACTCGAGCCTATAATTGTTTTGTTTGTGTTAACTCCTGTAATTGGATCCTTGTATTTAACCATACAAAGACAAGTAAACAATCTTTCTTTGGCAAGGAGCTTTTACTTCTTTGTGATTTATATCTTCTAACTTACTCATAAGAAAGTTAGTAAAAGATTTTGAAAAATTTGAATCCATCTATATTAAAAAAAAAACCTCAAGTTAAAACCTTAAAAAAGGATGTAAAGGAAGCTCATATTCAATATCTAGCAATTTTATAGTTTTCATATACATGGAGTAATAATAAGCATTGTCTCCTACTTATTCTAACATTAATCTAATCATATAACCATTACAATTTAACCATTTTTAGGAATTAAAAAAGGAATAATAGACTAGTTTAGTTGTATTTTCAACGAGAAAAAATATAATTGACCTCAAATTAAAACAAACAATTAAAAATAAATTTAAGATATATCACTCTATATTTTTATCAATATCAGTTACCATCATTACTTTCTTTTAATTTTATCAAAGATAACGACATAAATAAAAATTATTTTCCTTAACACATATCAAAAACATAAACAACAAATAAACAAAAATTATCATAAATAGCAAATTAACAATAAAACGTCTCAAGAATCAAGAGATATAAAAAAAATATAAAAAGTCTTTAAACAAGTATATATTTTTATTTTATTTAATTAACACAATCAATATTATTAATTAATTAAAAAAATAATTAATTTTATTTTTCTAAATTAGAGAGAAGATGAGGCACAATGCGTATTTTGAAATTTGCAAATAAGTTTTCTTCCTTCTATTCTGCTTTTAAAGAGAAATAGACGCAGACCAACATATACAAAATAAGTCATTGGCCAACAGAGAAAGAGTACTTTCATTTATTTTTGCCCTTTCTACATAGGAATGTAGAAATAACACTTCAAAATAAGAATAGTTATTTTAGATATTTATATGGCTGACCGGTTTGAATGGTTAAAAGCAAAAATAAAATATAAAAGTATAATTTTTTATTTTATCTATTATTTTAACTGCTGCATTGGAGATGCTTTAAGCCCAATTACCTTTTATAATTAGTATGTTAGTATTTATATCTTATTTTTTTAAAATATTAAAAAAATAATAAATTAAATAAAAATTGCAGAGTTGTGACCTTTTCAATTATTATCTTCTCTTTGTTGGCTTTTTTTTTTTTTTTAACTCTCAACCTTTTTTTAATTTTTTTTATTGTTCCCCATCATCAATATGCAGTTACTTTTCTGACAGATAATGATCGATCCCTTTTGAAAGCCATTGGTCCCATATTCCTCTTTTCATCTTCCAAGATAATTCTCGCTTTTCTGGCCTGCATCACCTTAAATTCATGATGGCTTTCTAGGAGAAACCATGTACATTTTCAGCACCAAAACCCTAAGAAAGTGTTTTCAAAACCGTGAAGATGTCAGATACAGTGGTTGTCTTGAATTTCTTGGGTCTTAAAATTTAAACCTGCCTCTTAGCTATCAAAATATTTTGGCTGAGTGGATTGTGTTGCATCTGAGAGCAACTCCAAACGGATGAGCTATATGGAAAGTTAAAATTATTTTGCCTATTTATTTGTTTTTGTTCATGTTCCAACGAGTAAGTTAAACAAATAGTCATTTTGGTTATTTGTTTTGTTAACAGTCATTTCTACATTTAATTGTAGAAATGGCTAAAACAATAGCCGTTGGCCAACGGCTATTTTTATAGCCGTTGGCCAATAATTTTTTTTTAAAATATAAAAAAAATCTTTTATAAATACATGAAGAAAAAATTTGTAATTTTAAATTTTTGTATTGTGCCTCATCCTTCTCTCAATTTTTTTTAAAAAAAACAAGAATCAATTATTTTCCGGTTAATTATTAACATCGGTTGTGTTAATTAGCTGAAATTAAAAGGTATGCTTGTTTAAAATTTTTTTTATTTTTTTTATATCTCTTGATTTTTTAGACCTTTTGTTGTTAATTTAATATTTGTGATGAGTTTTATTTCTTTATTCTTTGATGTTTTTAATATGGATTAAGGAAGACAATTTATATTTATGTTGTTATCTTTGATAAAATTGAGAGGAATTAATAATGGTAGTTGATATTGATAAAAAGATTGAGTTACATATTTAAAATTTATTTTTGATTGTATGTCTTAATTTGAGGTCAATTATATTTTGTCTTTTTGAAAATGCAATTAAACTAGTATATCGATTCTATTTTAGTTCCAAAAAATGGTCAAATTATTATATTAAAACAAGTAGGAGGCAATGCTTATTATTAATTCGCATGTATGAAAACTACAAAATTATTAGACATTGAATGCGAGCTTCTTTTATACTCTCTTGTAAAGTTTTAACTTGAGTTTTTTTTTTAATGTAAATGGATTCAAATTTTCCAAGCTCTTTTACCAACTTTCTTATGAGTGAGTCAGAAGATATTCTCTCTCAACCAAGTGATTCTAATCAATTAATTGATGATTTAACATGCTCGAATTTAAATGTCCATTCAGCAAAAAAATCACAAAGAAGTAAAAATTTCTCACCAGAGGAGGATTGTTTACTTGTCTCTGCATGGCTAAATACAAGGAAGGATCCAATTACAGGAGTTGAACAACAAACAAAACAGTTCTGGGCTCGTGTACATGCTTGCTTTGTAGATAATGGAGGAAACTTGAATAATCGTTCACAAATAAGCATCTCAAGTAGATGGCAAGAAATAAATAGAGAAGTCGGTAAATTTGTTGGATTTGTTACTCAAATTAAAAATCGTCAGCAAAGTGGAATGACTGAAGAATCAAGGGTAATGTTTATATTCATTTTTATGTTAAATTGTTTAACATATATTTTAATATTATTTTATTTATTTATTTTTTTACCAGATTAATGATGCTCGACAAATATATGCTTCTTGCGTTGGCAAACGATTTCAACTAGAACATTGCTGGGTTATTTTAAGAAAAGAACCCAAATGGTAATTTGAGCGTGCAAGTCAACATCAAAGGTCAAATAAGAAACAAAAAGGTCATGTCAATGCAAGTCCAGCTTCATCAACTCCATCTACCCCTGATGTTGTGAGTTTAGGAGAAGATAGTGAACCATTGATTTATCAAGATAGACCAATCGGTCAAAAGGCTGCAAAGGAACGACTTAAACGTAGACAAGGAAAAGATAAAGTTGGGGATGTAACTGTAACGAATCTCTTACAACAATTCAGGGATACTCTAGTTGAAATTGAGGATCAGAAGAAACAAGATAGGAAAATTATGTTAGAGCAACAAGCCATGATGATTCAATAAAGTCAAGAGAAACAAGAATTGGACAGGATTGAGAAAGAAGAACAAATTATGAAAATGGATATTTCTAATTTGGATCCAATTTCTGCAGCGTATTTTCAAAATAGAAAGTTAGAAATTATGCAAAAGAGGGGTTTTGATTTTTAATTAACTTTGATTGATTTATTGTAATGTAATGTATTTTTAATTAAATATGTAGAAAATTCTTGGTTATTTTAAATACATTGTTATGAAATTGATATCAATTCATAATACTTTTTTAAAGTTCCTCTAACACTTAACAATAACAAGTAGGATTAATTAACTTAAAAGATAACAAACATAATGAAAAAAAAACATAAAAAACCCTGAAAATTATGATAACATAAGAAGTTAAAATCTAAAGATTCTACTCGTTGCCATATTGTTCCCACAAATGTTCAATCAAATCTTTTTGTAGTTGAGAGCTAGTAGCTCTATCCCTAATTCGATTATGAGTTTGAAGAAAATCATGTAGTTCTGGTATTTCACAATGTGACATTGATATAAAGGAATTGACTTCATATTCATGGTCAAATCCAAGGTTCATTGCTCCATCCTCAATAATCATATTATGCATTATTATGCAAGTGTTTCTTCATCCCAGTATCGAACAGGTCCACGTACAATTGCAAAACGAGATTGGAGCACCCCAAATGCCCGTTCCACATCTTTTCTTGCAGACTCTTGCTTGCTTGCAAAATATTTTCTCTTTGCTCCTAATGGTCTTGGGATTGTCTTAACAAAGGTTGACCAATTAGGATAAATCTCATCTGCTAAATAGTATCCCATTGTATATTCATGCCCATTAATTGTATAATTGACAGGAGCAGTACGACCTTCAGCAAGTGCAGCAAAGATAGGTGACCGATCAAGAACATTAATATCATTTAATGATCCAGGCATTCCAAAAAAGGCATGCCATATCCAAAGATCTTGTGAAGCCACTGCCTCTAGAATTATAGTTGGTTCACGACAATGACCAGTATACATCCCATGCCATGCAATTGGGCATTTCTCCCATTTCCAATGCATACAGTCAATGCTCTCTAACATCCCTGGAAACCCACGTTGCTCTCCAATTGATAATAATCGACAAATATCAGCCTCGTTTGGTGCCCTTAGATACCAATCACCAAAAACTTCTACGATTGCTTTGACGAAAGCTCCAAGACTTTCTATTGCAGTGGTTTCTCCAATTCGAAGATATTCATCAGTAAGATCTGCAGGAATACCATATGCAAGTATTCTGTGAGCTGCAGTTATCTTTTGAAGGCAAGATAAACCAAGAACACCAAGAGCATCTGTCCTTTGTTTGAAATATGAATTATGAGCTTCCACTGCATTTGCGATCCGAAGAAAAAGACGACGACTCATCCTAAATCTTCTTCGAAATTGACTTTCAGTCAATTTAGGATTTTCTGCAAAATAATCATTATATAACCTTAACTCACCTTCCTTTCTATTACGATTGACAATATTGTGACCAGAAATAGAGTCACGATACCTTGTTCTCTGCCCTTGATTATTCGATTCTTCTTCAGCAACTACAGCAGTAGCAACTTGAAAAGCCAACACAGGAGTGTCATCATCAAAATCAAAAGCATCATAAAAATTAAAATTAGAATGATTCATGATGAATTTTAATGAAATATAATAAAGATTGGAGAGAAGAAAATGATGAGAAAAAATGTTAAGATATATGAGAATATTTATAGATGGACTATTTTTTCAAATTGTAAAATCTTAGAATGTTGGCGGCAAGTTTTTTAAAATTTGAAATTTTATAATTTAAAATATTGGCGGTTATTTTTTCAAAATTTAAAATTTCAAAATTTAATGTTGGCGGTTATGTTGGCGCTGATTTTTTCAAAGTTTGAATTTGAATTTAATTTTTAAAAATTTAATTTTTAACAATAACATATAAAACTTAAAATTAAAAATATTGATATAAATAAATTTTAAATTTAATTTTAAATTATATTTTTTAACTTTTATATTACTTCATTAATTTTATATTACTTTTATAAATTATTCATATTAATTATGTAATTAATAACATCATAATTATATTATATATAAAATATTTAAATTAGTTATATAATTATATTAAAATTAATTTAACATGAAATATATTAAAATATAAATGGCTTTTCTATATAGCTTTTTACCATTAGAATGTATATAATTTAAAAATCTATATTTATACTATTTAAAAAGCTATTTTTTTTATTTAGCTCTTCAATATAATATTTTTTTATTAGAGATGCTCTTAGAAAGATATTAATTCCTTATTTTTATAAATATTAATAGACTATGTTAAAATAATTGTGTATCAAATATATTAAAATATAATTGGCTCTTCTAAATAGTTTCTTACCATTGGAATACACATCAACAAAAAAAACTATATCTATACTATTTAAAAAACCATATTATCAATATAGCTTTTCTAGAAAGCATATCCCGTTGGAGATGCTCTGATAGAATATTGAATGTATTCCTAAACTAAGAGGAAGGAATGTATTAAAATGTATTTAGGGCTTCTGGACTAAAGTATCACCATTTAAATCTACTCGAAAGAAACAAACTAACTCATGGATGAGTAGATCTTGTTTCTAGCTTTTATAGGCTCTTCATGTTCAATTTTGTTATATTATGATAGCTGATCCCTCAGTATTTGCTAAATATTTTGTCATAAACATTATGTGTGGATGCTTTCAGTTGAAGGCCATATTCCACATGATCCCACTGAAGTGTGTTTTTGAAAGGAGAATTTGGAGAAAGTCTTACTCTTCATTATTTCTGTATGAAGTTTCTAATGTTAAAACTAGAAGTTTCACCCATCTGGTTGTTGAATATGACTCACCCAGAGTTGTCTGTATCGTTGCAGAGCAATAGGTTATTAAGTGTTCTAAGATAATTGAGAAATGGAAAATCAAGTGGCTGACATTCATTAACAGAAGAGGTCTTGATGGAATTCTGTTCTCATAGTTCTTTTAGCTTAAAAAAATTTCTTATTTTGTGCTGATGTTGTCAATGTTCAATTACAGCAGGGAAGAAAGAGCTCTAAGAAAAGCTGAGACGGAGGCAACCAAGGTATAGCGCTTCTCCATCTAGACTGCTTATCTGTTGATCTTGTCAGAGATTTAATGCACTTACTCTATTGTCCATAGAGATAACTTGTCTTCTGTTTTTGGTTTATAATTTCTATTTTTTGGCCATCGCATTGCATTGAAGGTCATTACTATCTGTGTAGAATTATTTTGTGGCAATGGAAGCTGTTAACTTGGGAAAGCTCTAAAGTGAGTTCATGCACTCTTACTGTGTTTATTGCAGGCAGAAAATATGATTGCGTACAAGGATGAAATCTTTTCAAGTCCCAAAAGGACCTGGTTTGTAACAGAGAGAGAGAGAAAATGCTAGCAGCGAAGGTGATTTCTATACTGTTGTGGTTGTGTTTATGTTATGCCTTGTAATTTCAAAGACATATCAGTCCCAGTCATAATTTGGAATTTGAATTTGTTTTTCTGGCCATTGAAAAGTGCAAGTACCATAGCCATTTAGAAAATGCTGATAAAGAATGCTAGGATTTATCCACTGTCATGCGCCAAGGAACCCCGAGTAATGCATTAAGTTTATCCTCTTGATCTCCTTTTATAATTTTACACGTGAAGGGGATAAGAATCATGTGAAGATGGTTTTTATGTTAAAGGAAGCATGCTTCCTAATAAACAATGCTTCTCTTCTTTACAAATGGAATACTCACAACCTGAGTTATTTTCTCTTGTATTAAATGATTTTCCTCTTTCAGTTCAACTTTCAGGACTTTATATTAAGCAATACAAGTTAAGGTTAGTTTCTCCTACTAATCAAACGGTGTGTACACTTGCATGCATGCAGCAGTCATAGGTTAGGCTCTGGAAACGAGGTGATGAGCGCACAGCAAGCTGAAGACCTTAAATGAAGGAAAAGAGGAAGCGAGAGCGAGAGGTGATTGTTTTTCTGCAATTTAATGTTATCATTTTCTGATTGAAAAGATTTGCTCTCCCAAACATACCTAATATCTGTTGAACAGAAAGATTTACCCTGTAAAAAGCGTCGAAAACTACAAGCAGCCAGAGAGATGCTAGAGGATGAAGATCTAGCTGAGAAACCAGAAGGACGCGTCCCCTCCTTTTCTGTGTGCAGAAATCGTGCATGCATATAATTTTATTATGTTGTCTTTGGCACTAGTTATTTTGAACAAACTAATATCAAATCATAAAGTAGACAAACGCTTCAGCTATAGTTCTCAAAGATGTATATGTTGCAGGATTCGATTTGGCATATTGTATGTCCATGTATCTTGTGCTTTTCAGGTTTCATAGATCATCAAACCAGGCCAACTATTGCAGTGCTAAAGTTTTGTCATGTGCAGAGGTTTCTTTCATGCTCCTTTCAAAGTGTATCGCAATGCAGGAAAGTAGAAAAAATAAGAAGGGAAATACTGGACTATCATTAGTCGATCTGGGTTACCGTCGGGTGAAGGCAGCGGAGGCTGTGAAGAAGGCATTGGATGCTGGCAAGATTGTGCAGAAGAAAGCTGGTAAGAAATCAAAGCCGCCTCCTGAAAGAACTCAATCAAGGAGAGAAGAAATGCGGAACCTGTTCCAGAGGGACATGAGTGAGAGAAAGCAGAAGAGAAATAGTGGAACAAGAAACAGGAAGTCCAAGAATTCATTTAAGAGAAAATCAAGGTACAAATCAGCTTGATATATCTCCGAGTCTCAGTACTTGTTTTTCTAGATCCTCTACGTACTGTTTTATGACATAGATCCAAAGCTGCAAGAGGCATATCCCTATCAGCACAGGCTACATAAATAGCAGTGGTCTCGGCTTAGTCATTGCTACCAGTTAACCGCGGGCCTACTCACAAGTAGTTTATCACACATCATGGGTCCTATTACTGCATAAATTTTCTGTTTCTGACTTTATGAATGCCCTATGTATTCTTAGGATGGTGTAACCTGGATCTTTAGATTCCCAAAAATAAAATACACTACGATACCGGCATTGTCATACAGAGCATTATTATTGCAGCAGTGATCCTAGTGATAGATTTTTTATTTGTCACTCCCTGATGCCGGCAGAGATGCTTGTATTGCAAAAATCCTCTAAAAGTAGGCTAGTGCATATCTTTAGATGCTATAGATTTGTTTAGATAGGACATTCTGGAATAAGATTCTAAGACTTTAGTTACAAATATCAAAATAATATTCTTTTCAGAAGTTACCGATTTTGACCATTCCAAGTACTGGAATGAGATACTCATTGATACCCATTTTCTCTTTTCAGGTATAAGCCGAGGTAGCCCTATCAAGTTTGCCATCAAATTATGCGGTCATTTACCTCAATAAATTATGAAGGTTCTATACTTTAGCTGTGCTGATTTTGGAGGAGAGGCAGGCAGATACTAACCGTTGATGGTAAGAAAGCAAAAGCATCCATACAAATGAAGCGTTCATTATCTCCCTTGATGTTTCAACTTACCATCCTGTATTTCCTTTTCCCAGCATCAATAGGTGACATCAAACCCTATTAACAAATGCTTTCCTGGGTTGATTTATAGATTGCAATATGCTGGCTGTTTGCCACAGAGTTTTGATCTGTTATGCTGCCTTGTGGAAAAAAATGGTCTCTCGGCTCGCTGGCCTCTTCTGACTAGGGTTTAGTTTCTTGATTATTATTTCTGAGAAAAAATGTAACTTTACTTACCTTGCATGCTGGAGTTGCGTGTTAGAAAAATATGTAAGCTACTACGAGCAGCAAGTCAAAAGTTTTCTTGTCAGCAGAAACTGTCTTGTATTATCCGAGTTGTTTCTGTGGGTTCAGGAATTACAAGATATCAATGGTTTCATCATACCGCCACAGGTCCTGGAACTGTCTTCACTGAGGATGGTAACTGCTAAAACCCTGTTTGGTTTTATGATTTAAAATATTTTTTAAAAAATAATTTTTTATTTGTTTTTTAAATTAATATTTTTTCAGTGTATTTAAATTATTTTAATATATAATTTTAAAAAATAAAAAATATATTATTTTAATATATTTTTAAATAAAAATATTTTATAAAACAATCATAATTATACTTTTACACTGTCAATATCAGGGTTGGACCTGAACTAGGACATTCCTTTATCCGCAACCAAGCCTTGACATCTTGACCACCTTTGGCCTCGTCGGTCTTCTGTTTTTTAGCTCACAGGATGTTGCTTGGCTCGATTAGTCATCGGAGGCAGCTAATTTTGTTTTATCCAATATGCAAGAGCGCTGCAAATTCACCCCTCCACAGCCCTTTCGTAGCTTTCAAGATCTCCGGAGTGGAATTTTAGTCGTTTACCCATCTGGGCCTCAGGTGGAACACAAAAATAGAAAACAAGCAAAAATTATAGCATTTGCTTCTCTTCATCAGGAAAGGAAAAACTTGAGAAAATAAGTTCGAAGACAAAGTTAGTTCCTTTAAATTCCTGTGCTATGTGACGAAGATAAATTACAGCTACATGTACCAAGCTTCTATGATTGAAATTGCTTTCTTTGAAACACAGAAACGAGAAGAAACTAAACAAAACATAAACAAATAAAAAACCTAATCTTCCTTTTCTTTTCCTCCTTCAGCAATTAATCTCATGAATCATTTTACATTCACATTTGCCCCCAATTTTATTTTGCTTTCCTCACTTAGGCTAATCAGCTTACATCAGAGACTTAATCGAACTGGTTCCAAGAGCGGGCACACTGACAATTTTGGAAGTCCCTATCTCCATGGGGGTTGCGGATGCTTATATTGTAAAGAGTAGGCAGGTTCCCACCCACTATCTGGTTCCTTCCTTTTCCCACCCACTCCAGAGCTTGAAGAAGGTTGTGAGCTGCCTTGGCCAGGTATGATCAGCTGGCGCAAACCACCCGTGCTTCCCCCATCCATTGCAAAACCAGAATTTAAGTCAAAGCTAGGCCGTGAGGGCCCAGCACCATTTAAACTCAGGGGTGCACCACTCATACTCATTATGAATGGTTGCTGGGAGTAAGGAGGAACAGATGGTGCAGAGCCCATTATTTGAGGCATGACAGGGGTTCCCCTTGAATCCATCATATAAGGGATGGAGCCAGCAGAACCATACATAGCTGAAGGAATGGATATCGCGGGTGCTGTTGGCAATGCACTGTACCCAAAAACAGGAGCATGCGTGTATGGCAGAGCGGGAACCATATCCAAAACACCTCCCATTCTTGTAAGATTAGCACCCATTACATGTTCCAGAGGCTTGCTCTTTGGCAGGGACGGAGCCTGCAGAATGAAATTTTTTTTGTCAACTTCCGTTCGATTGCCCACTTCCACTCTAGTACCCATGATAGAAATAACAGGATCACCTAGTTTAGATCCTCCAAAAACACTTGCAGTTTGGGAAGACTTGCTATGATACAGCCCGTGATCCAAAGGGTCATTATGAAAGAAAGGTCTATCATTTAAATCAAAGTTCCTCAGTGAAGGCTGCATTGAAGAAGATGAAGAAGCAGGAGATGGACTTCGATGGCCATTCCGTGGGTAAAATAGCTGCCCCTCCATTCTCAGATCAGTCAGTGAAGCATCACCATCATCACTGGTACGATTTAAATCCAGGTTGGGCCTCTCTGGTCTTCTCGAGCCCACTTCTAAAGAAGATTCCCCAGAATGGAAGCCTGATGAGACTGGAATTTGTCTTGATGAAATTAAATCCACAACCTTCTCCTCTCCACCCTCGGCCACATTGAGATCAATATCAAGGCACACCTGCCTTTGTTTTGAACAATTGCTGCTTCCCCCAACCTCAACAGTCTCAACAGTCTTGTCCCCGTCAGAAGTCCTGCGTGGGGAAGCTGGACGAAAAGCACTAGTAGCTGCAGAACCTCTCCATCCAAGATTTCCCTCAAACTGAAAAGGAGCTGCAGGCGATCCAGAAGCTGCAGGCCTTGAAGCCGAAACAATGGAAATCAGCGCGGGGGAAGTATTCATAGGAAGAACCATATCATCAGAACAGACTTCTTCATTCAAATCAAAATCACACAGGCCTTTCTCTGTATTAACTTCTGGTTCTTGAGCCACTTCAGTAACCTGAAAAGACTCCAGGTCATGCATGCCATTCTCTGCTTCTTTTTCCAGATTACCTGAATCAATTAAGCGCCCCTCTTGCTCAGCACATGTCTCAGAAGCCTGATTCAGTCTAGTTGGCACATTTTCCAGAGGGATCTCAGTGGATAGGTCCCGCTCTCCATTTATGGAATCTGGGCTGCCTGGCTGCTTAATACCACTTTCCAAGATTTTCTCAGAAGAAGAGCTGCAGGATTGTTCTCTGTAATCTCCAACTTCTCTCTCCACTTCTTGAGCAACTTGTCGAGCAACTTCAAGAGCATCAACCATGCCATACTCAAGCTCAATATTAGATCTTCTGCCAATCAAATCTGGACTACATTTATCTGTGGTTGGTTTAGAGATATCAGAATTATCCTCAGCACCGTCACTGCTATGTTCTCGATCATCATCACTGGCACCAACATCTTCCATCCGTGAAAATAGACTCCCAAAATTGTCAGGTTTTTCCAATGGGCTCTTGTTGCCAGACAAGTGCTGTGGAGGGTCAGGAGAAAATTCACCATTTTCGGCACCGGAGTTAAATATAGGTGTTTGACATTGACCTCTATTTTCTGCTTCATCTGTCCCAATTTTTGATGTAGATATGGGTATCGCCACAACACTGGATCCACTTGTACTTGTACAGCAATTATCCTCTTTGACATCAACATTATCTTGCAAAGCAGATTCTGACACAATTTCCTCAGCAATTGCAGCAACATTGCTTGAGGAAATAGCTCCAGGTTCCACTTTGCTAGAAGAGGCTGATTTGTCAGTGAGCATCTTTGGAGCTTCTGAATCTGGCTCAGTGGAAACATTCTCTTCCACAGCACTACTTAATGGGGACTTTTCTTTCAGTGACGGTCTTTCTTGATCAGATTTTAACACAACAGAGGTGTTAAGAGGATCTAATGATCTATCCACAGCAGCAGTAAGAGGAACTTGCGTTCTATCCTCCAAATTTCTATGGTCTAAAATTTGATGATCACAATCATTAGTTTGAATCTGTACATCCTGCATGCTTTCTGCTTGAAGACAATTTGTGTTTCTTGATTGCAAACTTTCATCCCCAGTTTGTTCTGCATTGTTATTTTCTACATCAGCACTTCCATTTGAAAGAGGAACTTTGACAGCAACACATTCAGTTTTTCCATTCTCACTGTCATTCATTCTAACATCATCAAATCCCCCAACACTCTGAACATCATGGTGAATTGCATCACTAGCTTCACCAGGCTTCCAACTATTAAACAATGCCCTTGCCCTATCCTGAACCCGAGAACTACTGTGGTCAAGAAGATTATTGACAGTGCCCCAGACCCCTGAAGAAATCGACCTCTCCTTGTCTATTTGCAGCTTTTCCAGAGCCCTTAATAATGCAGTAATTGACTCTTCTACAGCGCCTTCACTTGTTTCATTACTGAACTTCTGAGCAACCTTTAACCATCTATCAATAAACAATAGTCCATTTAAGTTCACAAAAAGATCAAGACAATCTTTATTCTCTGTAGCAGCAATTGTGCTTGCAACTGCAGCCCATTGCCTGGTTGAATCTCCAACATTATTCAAAACACCATGTTTCTCTTTCTGCATTACAGCAACCAACTCATGGACTCGTGAAGGGGCTGTGAGCCCATCCTTCATCTCAGTCAGGGTAAAGAAATCTTCAAGTGTCATACTGATTTAAATGTACCTCCAAGCATTGAAGAAGTCCTTGTGGCTTAATAATCTGCTCTTTTCTATCAAGAACCACAGTGGCTTTGAGAACTATTTACAGGACACCCTGCAGAAGGGACAAAATAGAATCTCTAAGTGGACAGCTTGAGACAGTATATATTAGCTGGAAAACACCTATTATATCTAAGCTTTGAAGTCATTAAGAAACATGTGCTTGGAAACTAAACAAAGACCAACTAAAACCACATAACAGCATGAGATGGACCAATTCATTCATTATGGTCTCAGTAGAAACCAGAATAAATATATAATATAAATTGAAGAACATTAAGAGAGTGTGTCAAGGATATCCCTTGGCACAGAATAATATAATATAAATTGAAGAACATTAAGAGAGAGTGTCTTATTTTACAAAAAGAACAGAAGAAGAGATGGAGAAGAAACAGTAAACAAATTACCCATTGAGAACAACAAATGCAGAAAGGGAAGGTTAGTTGACCTTCCATGATGAGTATAATCAAATATAATCAATACTTGCCTCCTCTAACACAGTTTGCTAGGTACACTAGAGCTGCAGATAGTAGAATGCATGGAATCTGAAAAATTGTAGGCTGGTAATCATGGCACAAATAATGGAAAATGCATGGTGAATCATATAATTAGTTTGAATTTGGAACCTCGAACTTGGAGTTAGATATTTTTTTCTCATAGGGGAATGGAACAGTTGACTGTTTTCATGCAGAATTAGGTAGGGCTGGGGGCCCTCTTTCTACTCTACAGCTTTTGTCCATTCAAACACTAGGAAACTTACTTTGAAGCATCAGAGTATTAGGCAGACAATGCAGAACGATTGTAAGAATCAGGCACCATTATCTTTTTTCATGGCACCCAAAAACAGCACAAAACCACCAAAGATAGCAAGAATTCTGGTGAGAAACTTTCTTTCACTCTTTTTATATCGAGAAACACATTCATAGAATAAGCATTTTAACAAGATTCAAACA